ACCCACCACCATCGCCTCCCTGCTGGCTGGGAGGAAGAGGGGAGAGGGAGGTGGGGTGTTGACAGACAGGAGGGGAGATTAATGCATACTCAAGGATTATAAAAGGCGGGGAGTTTAAGTTTTTTGCTTATAAAATGTCACTGACTTAGCATAATATATTTGCATTAACAATTCTACTGAATAGCAGTATTCAATCTCATCCATAGTCTTGCAGTCAATATTTTTAATTAACTTAATACATTTGAGGTTGCTCAGCAGTTGTAGTTGCAGTTGCAAAGCTTTGTGACATCACTAGTGTATAATGCATCTCCATATGCCCTGGTTTATTCACTGATCAGTTGTCTAAGTGCAAAAGTAGCCAAATCAAGCCATCATGTATCAATTAATTTTAAAATATAAATTATAAAGTAAAATGTTATAAGACAATGGTTTAGTAGTGCTGTTAATGTGTGTGTTGTGTAAGTGTCTTGGCATGTCACCTCACCACCTGAAGCAGTTGATGTTTCCCACCCTCGCACTAACCATGTGAGGACGTGGCTAAACGTGATGCAGGCTTTCATAATGCTGGGAACCCTTGTCCCCAGGCCCTGAGCAGAAAGGTTTGGAGTGATTTTCTCAAAGTTCTCTCAGATTTTCCGGTAATTGCTCATTATTTCATAATCGACATTTGCTCCCAGACCCAAAAAGAACAATTTGGACAGAATTTCCAGATTCTTTTTTTCCAGAAAATGATCCAATATTCAATCTCGGAATTTATTCCCAAACCCAGAATTTAGGGAATTTTCCGGAAAAATTCTGAGAAAATTTAAATTCCGGCTATTGGAGAGTCCTGAGTTTGAGGGATTCCGGCTAACAGAGATATTACTGTATTTTTCTTTCTTTATTTCTAAGCCACATTTGAGTATTTTGGTTTTCACTTTGGCATAAAGAAAATGGTTTTACTAGGGTGGACTATAATACCTTTAGTGATATAAATTACAGGTAAATTTACATACAGTACTGAGACTTGAGTTATGCATAGTAAAACAATTATTTTTATTATAATTTATTCTTTAATTTGTATAAGACCAAATGACAGTACTGTATACATAAGTGCTGTACTGTTTACTGTTGATTAAGCATTTCCACTCCATCCCCTGCATCACTTAGCATGCCCCTGCGTCACCTACCATGTATAGTCACCTACCATGCATCTGTGTCACCCACATGCCTCTCCATCCACCTACCATATCTGTGTCACCTACCATGCCCCTCTGCATCACCATGCCTCTGCATCACCTACCATGCCTCTGCATCACCTACCATGCCTCTGTGTCACCTACCACATCTTTGTCACCTGCCATGCCTCTCGTCACCTGCCATGCCTCTAGTGCCTGCCATGCCTCTCGTCACCTGCCATGCCTCTCGTCACCTGCAATGCCTCTGTCACCTGTCATGCTCTGTGTCACCTACCATGCCCTCTATGTCACCTACCTGCTTCATGTCCCTACATGCCTCTACGTCACCTACCATGCCTGTGTCACCTACCATGCCTCTGTGTCACCTACCATGCCTCTGTGTCACCTACATGCCTCCATGTCACCTACATGCCTCTATGTCACCTACCATATCTTTGTCACCCACCATGCCTCCTATGTCACCTACCATATCTTTGTCACCTACCATGCCTCTGTCACGACCATGCCTCTGTGTCACCTACCATATCTCGTCCCTCCACCATGCCTCTGTCCGGACCAACCACCTCTGTGTCACCTACCATATCTGTGTCACACCATGCCTCCTGTGTCACCTACCATGCCTGTGTACCTACCATGCCTCTGCATCATCTACCATCCTCTGCATCATCTACCATGCCTCTGCATCATCTACCATGCCTCTGCATCACCTACCATGCCTCTGCATCACCTACCATGCCTCTGCATCACCTACCATGCCTCTGCATCACCTACCATATCTTTGTCACCTGCCATGCCTCTCGTCACCATGCCCCTGCGTCACCTACCATGCCCCCTGCGTCACCTACCATATCTGTGTCACCTACCATGCCTGTGTCACCTACCATGCCTGTGTCACCTACCATGCCTCTGTGTCACCTACCATGCCTGTGTCACCTACCATGCATCTGTGTCAGCTACTACGATGTTTCATTCTTTGCCTGCAGTGCTGGTAAGTGTTTCTTTTTGAAAATTAGTAATAATTTTTTCTTGTATTTTGTAGAGAGGGGAGAGGGTGCCACTGTAAGTCAAAATTCGAGATAATTCGGAGAGGCCAGAGCCCCTTGCCGAGTTAACAAGGTTTTACTGTATCACCTCAATGCTCTAATGTGACTCAGAAATACAGAAAATATAATATAAAACCATAATATATAAAAATGAAGAGTGGGGAGCAAGCTGTTTGTGAGAAGTCGGGTGTTGGACTCAACGTCAGGTGGAGGTTGGGTGGGGGATTAGTGGTCTTGCATTACTGACCTTCTGATGGAATGTCAGGTCACCTTTTCTTGGGTGGGGGATTAGTGGGTCTCATGACCTGAAGATTGTGAAAAGTATAAGTATAAATGAGCAAAGTTGTATCTCTTCAATATTACATAACATTTTAAAATGCTGAGTGAGAAAGCAGAAGGGTGTGGGTGATTAGAGAGGTGGAGTGGATAGGAGTATAACATGCACCGGTGTGCCAAGTGTTAAGCTCCTCAACAGCTGATCTTTTAATTCACCTACATGCAGTCACACAACAAGGCCCTCACTGGATGCTTGTTGTCTTAATTCCTGTGTGTGTGTGTGCGTGTGTGTGCGCGCGCATGTGTGTGAGTGTGTCAAACATTAAAACAAATAGTGTTGAGCTTGCCAGGCATATTGTAGGATTTAAAGAAGTTGATGAATGTTCAGGAGTCAGGTCATGAAACCAATTAATCCCCCACCCAAGAAAGGGTGACTTGACATTCCATGAGGTCATTAATATGAGACCACTAATCCCCCCATCCCAACCACCTGACATTGCATCAGGCCAGGTCAGTTACACAAGATCCACTCATCCCCCACAGCTCTATGGGAGTGGAAAATAACAGTCTTTGTTCTAACACACAGCTTCAATCATGCCCATATCCTATAAATTTTTAATTTTTGAATATATTTATTGATTCAAACTTTTAGATAAACTATTCTGGATTATTATAGTAAAGATATTAGGTTTCTAACTTAAGTGGAACTGTATTTACGGATTCCAGTAGTTTAGACTCAAGGAAAACATCCCCAGCACTCAGAAACGTTCTGGGGATGTGGGCTAGTGTCTGTGTGTGCAAGATGTCTAGTTTAGACACTCGGAAACTTTTCCCAGTAACCAGAAAAGGTTCCGGGGATAAGGAATTTTTCCAGGTTTGAGAAAGTCGTTTTGTTACCCAGAAATCTCTCCTCCCCATAAGTGTTCTGTACCAATTGTTCCCACTAACGGGGATATCACTGTATATTGATTATTTTTTGTGGCAGCCAAGGTATGACCAGGTGTAAAAAGTGAACAGAAAATGAACCAATAATCGAAGACGAAAATTAGGAAGTTGTTGAGTATTAAAATACAGTATTCTGAACTCAATTAATTCGCATTTTTCTGTTCGAGTGTCCCAGAGCCTCTTTTTTGTCAAATTAACGTGGGTTTAGTGAACCTAATGAGTATATTTAATAATAAAATATGGTCCTGCTGATTTTATCTTCCTTTACCATCCAATCTTAATCAATGGTGTTGTGACCTAGTTGAGACATACTTTTATATTACAGTAATCGTGTCACTCATTGTCAACTATATACCCATTATATCATCCATTATAGGGATCAAGCTAAGGTTATGTGCAGTAGACCCTATGATACAGCCATTATCACAGAGGATGATAAAGCATTCTCATATGAACCATATTATCCCCCACATTCATACTTAGTATACTGACTACCATTCTGAGGGGCAATACAGCTTGGAGAATTCTGATATTATCGTTGCAAACCCAAGCCACCAAGACACACACTCTCCACTGTCTCTTCTGTATTGTAAAGATTTTGTCATGATTATCTAATAAAGTCAAATAATGTAGAACTTGATTGGATTAATTGTTTCATGAATTTATTAAACAAAACAATAACATCCTTTCCCAGACTTTAGAAAGAAATGGAAGTATCAGAGCTCGAATGTTGAACTGCTTTGGTGCTCTTTTGTGTGTTGGGGGCGATGGCTGGACAACGACCCGCTGTCCAGTAAGGCTGGGGCCAGACATACACCCTCCACCTAGACTGCATCATGGACTTTGGTCTGGGATTGTACATGGTTTTATTTGTATTTTATTTTTTAACAACATACACGAGTAAAGTTGGATTTACGAAGAAGCCTTGGGAAAGTAACTCATTCGTAAGTAGAGGAGCACCTGTTATTCATTCCGGAACATAGCCAGTTTTTGGAGCGTTATGGAAAAGAGGATGCGGGATAAACTGTCCCATACCTGTGCTAAAATTTCTCTTTCACCCAGCCTTAACAAGACATCCCAGTACTTTGTTACAAAAGGCTAAATCCCATAATAAAGAAGCAAAAGGCAGGTACACTATTACCTCACCTGACCTACCTTATTGGTTGAACTATATCATTGTTGTTAAACAATCATACACCTACTGCACAAAACAATGGATAATGTAACAAAACCCAGAAACCTCCTTTAATTTATCTTCTTGACTGAACTAAATCATTATTGTTTAATACTAATAATTTAGACAAATATATGATAAAAATATAACTACAGAAACATTAATTGTGCATATCATAAGTGTATGCTATTCATCATAATACAGACAAAGGTAGAGCAATTATTATTCTGCATTATGGAGGCTTATTGCATGTATTCCCCACACTTCAAAAAATACAGAAGGATCCAATGATTAAAAAGTAAATGGAGCATCTCTGTGTAAATAATGTTTTGCTACTCTGTCAATACAAATACATCTACAAGGTTATCTAAATATATTCCTTACTTTGACAGAAATTGTTGTGGGCAGAGCACAGTATAAGCTGTTGTAATTTGTAGGCACAGTCTCAGATTTTCTGATGATAACTCCAGCAGTGGCAACATATTATCAAAAAGCTGCAGGAGAGCATCATGAGGATTTGCTGTATTTTCTAAAGTGGTCAGCCAAAGCAGTAAACCATCTTCCAGAAGGTACACATGACAGTCTTCAGTAACATCTGTTGATATGCGCACAATGTTGATCAGGAACTCATGTAGGCCTTCACTTTTGCGCTGTAAATGAAGGGAAATTATGGGAATAATCTGCTTGAATTTACCTGCAACTTGAGATAAGAATTTGATTGGTAATACAAGTACTTACAGTATTTATTCAAACTTTATTTTGCAATACACAAAAAAAAGTTAAAATAAATTATCGAAGCACGAACACACAACAGATGTAGGAAAAAATAGGGGAATCATATAATATTAAAAAAGTAAATAACAATACAGTGGTCTCCACAAGTCTTGATTTTCAGTAACAAATTGTCTTGAAATGAAAAATAGGAGACAGTGACTGTGTGGTGACCCATAGGCCATCACCAATGCAGATTGATGATGACACCGCTTGCCAGAGCTTAATAACATCTGCAATGGTTCAAGGCAAGTACAGTTGGGGACTTTTTCAACTGTTACAGTCAGCATTGTCAATCCACCTTCTCTGTATGGTATGAACCCCGAGAGAATCGACTTCTAAATGCAAAGCATACACGAGTGAAGGAGAGAGGTGGTTCAGGGGATCAGTATGTGAGTGGGTGGTGGGTGTTCAGGGCTAGAGGATGGGAGAGGTTTATGGAATATCTACAGATCCCCAAACTGTTGGTTATTAAACAAACGGAACTTAAGAGCCTTAATTGACAATGCAACGGCGCTCAACCCTAACCACCTCCTTGTCATGGGAAACTTTAACTATGGCGACATTGACTGGAGAAATGAAACCATGCCAAATGACCTGGATAACCTCACTACTCTTTTGGTAGAAACTCAGACAATTTTCTATTCCAACATGTTAAAGATCCAACTCATTATTGAGGGAAGTGTATGTATATTATGTATGTTGTATGTATATTATGTATGTCGTATGTATATTATGTATGTACTCTATTTATATACATTACTTATTTAGCTAGCAGCGTGTGGCAATGTATTTTTCATGTCACCACACGCTTAGATAATGTGCCTGGCGACATCTGGAAGCTGCTAATGTATCACTTGCCACATGTCGCCTGAGAGGTCAGGTGACCCGTAGAGAGAGGTCAGTTGACCCATAGAGAGGTCAGTTGACCCATAGAGAGAGTAGGGAGTACCGGCTCTTGTGTCGCACCTCTGTACTTCCAGCAAATAGAACCTACAAAAACTCTACAGGTGTTTGTGTTCACTCCTGTAGTTAGAATTGAGTACCCAGAACATGTACAGGGAGCAAACACCCAAACCACTGGACCTCATCATAACAAACGAGGAAGATATGGTGGTAAAACTGGAGCACCTGGCCCCCATTGGCACCAGTCACCAAGTAACGTGGTCCTTCAGATTTAACTGTTACTTGGCTCATGACGAAACCAGGCCAAGGCTAAAATATTACAAGGGTAATTATGACAGGATGAGGGAGGAGATGAAGGGTATCACTGGCCTGACTCATTAAGATATAAGAACACAGACACTATGCTGGATATCATAGCCAATAAAGTGAACCATTTGATCAATAAATATATATACCAAGACCAAACCCAATGCCTCCAGGAAAAAAAGGAGGCCACTACACATGAACCATGTGGAGGTTGACAAAGTTAAAAAGAAAACTCAGAAATTCAAGATGTGGGCTAGGAGAAATGATGAGCAGGACAGGTGGATATATGCCAGATCCAGGAACCAAGAAAAGTCAGAGTGTAGAAGGGCTGAAAAAGAGTTCCAGAGGCAGAGTGAAACAAGGTCAAGTCAATCCCAAAGGTGTTTTACCAATACACAAAGTCGAAATTAAATGCATGAGTAGGTGTATTGGACCTGAGGCTTGAAGATGGTAGTCATGCAGATTCTGACTAGGACAAAGCAAAGGTGGTGAACAGCTTCTTATCCTTGGTGTTCACAAGGGAGGATGCGAACAATCTCTCTGCATTTGAGGACAAACAGTTTGACAGTTAACCCAAATCGAGTTCTCAGAAGAGGGGATAAGAAATAAATTGTGAAAGCTGACATGGTGCATCCCAGAGTGCTAAGAGAGTTGTGCAACAAGCTTGCGGAGCCCCTGAAGTTCTATTCTATAAATGCCTGGATGAGCAAAAGGGCCTCAGTGATTGGAAAATGGCTTATGTGAGTCCTATATTGAAGAAGGGCGACCATCACTCAATGAATAATTATAGACCAGCATAGTATGTAAAGTACTTGAGAGTATTATAAGAGATGCCATGATGGAACATCTGCTACGAAACAACCTTGTAAAGGATTGCCAGCATGGTTTTATGCCGGGATGCTCCTGCCAACACAATTACTCAAGGTACTGGCTGTTTGGACCCAAATTCTGGAAAAGGGTAGCAATATCGACAATATATACAGCAAACCCTCGATAACTCAGCATTTGTTAACTCGGAATTTCATATAACTTTTTTCCTAAAAAAAAAAATGAATTCCATTAATTTCCAACATCTATCTCAGTTATTGGTTATACATTGTCATAACCAATCAGTCATTACCTTTAGTAATAATAAGATAGGATCACAGATACGGGCAGATAATTGCACTTACATTTATTTATCAAGCTTCCATACAATGATTTACAATTTCCATGGATATATGATTCACTCACGTTCACGCTGTAATAAGATTAATCTTCTAAAACAGGGAATTTTCAACTTGGGGACACATGTGATTACTCTACTGTGGTATGACTTAACAGAGCCTTAATTCTTCAAGTGATACATTTACTGCCAGCCTGGATTGCTTTTGTTACAACCAGGCTTCATCACAAGAACTTCTTTCCACGGCCATAACAACAAAAGGTACTCTTGGGTTACCACACATTGTCTCGCGTCACTGACAGTCACTGTAGACGGGTGTCGTGCAGGAGAACTCTGTAAGCGTGAATTAATTAACCATTTACTGTAGGTTTGATAGGCCAGCCTGGTTAACACGCAGATCTTGTGTCGTGTCGACGACGGTTCACAGACGGAGTGGCGGTGGAGGACTCTGTGTGGTGTGGTGTCCCGCCCCCTTTCAGGAGGGAGAGGATGGAGACGACGTCTTAACTATGCCATGGTCCAGGGGATACTACTTAAAATGAGGTTTTTGGGTGTGAAGCGATGAACAGTACAACACTGTTTCACTGCCCACCCCCCTAAAGGTTGGCTAACATACACTAATGAAAAATACATGTCCCAGTTATGCCTCGCCGGGTGTCTTATCTCTAGTAAAACAAACTTTGGAGTTGGTTGCGTGGGTAAGCCTAACGCAACCCATGACAATGAGTGAGGACAGAGTACACCCTCACCTTGGGGGTCCTCAGCGACAGAGGGACCCGGTTCCACATCAGCCGGCTGATGGAATCCTTCTCTTCACCACCGGGGAAGTTCATTCGACATTGCAGAGCGTGTCTAGGACCTGACCTATGTGTGGGAGTGTCCATATGTTCCGGTCAACTCGAACCTCCACGCATCTGACGACTCTTCAAATGTTATGTAAACCTTTTCACACCTCTCTACATTTAAGAACATAACACGACACCTGTACCACCTAAACAATGTCTACATACCCTACACTACACAACACGTTGCTGTAACATAAATGTAGCGTGTTACGCTTAGCATGAACTATTGCTCGGGAATTGTCACCCTCGCCTCGGAGTTTTCCTCCAGCCTGAAAATCTAAAGTAAATGTTGAGGTTTTCCCTCAGTGGCGATGGCGACTACATCCCGTTGCAGTGTTAGTGTCACACACACACCACAGTGTGAATGTTGAATTGTGTGTCTGGGCTAGGCATTCTCTTGATTGTATACAGGTGCTGAAATTTTTATTCTCCGAAGAAAATTTTTTCTTAGTAGGGGCGATTGTCATGGGTTGCGTTAGGCTTACCCACGCAGCCAACTCCAAAGTTTGTTTTACTAGAGATAAGACGCCCGGCGAGGCATAACTGGGACATGTATTTTTCTTTAGTGTATGTTAGGTTGGGTCATCTTACCCTATGACCTGACTACGGACAGCTGCTGTGCTTAGAGATGGCATGGTTGATTTTTTTTTATTAAGAAGATTAGTAAGGGTCACTGCCTTATGACCGGAACATTGTGGACACCTGCTGTCCTCTAGGGACTTGATCTCACTCTCCTCTACTGTACATATTTGCCTTATCAAGTATTTCCCCTTAGTCGGTACTCACCCCTGAAGATGTGAATTACACGAAAGAGCTTAGGAACTTCGTGTTTTCTTGTGGTTATCAGCATATACTTGGATCACGCGCACCTACAGTGATTTACTTGCACAGTATGTATGTTGTTGTCAATAGTAAGAGAAACAATTGAGACCCTGCAGTTGTGTGTAAATGAGGCAAAAAGTCAGATCAGCAACCTGGGACTTGGTCACAATTTTTGTGGTGCCATATGGCAGCAGGGTCTACCATTAGACAACACATTATGCTTCCAATATCTTCCCGGGCGGTAGTACCTCCCTGTTTGGTAGCTGCCGACTACCTACTTCTATTATTAGAGTTTACTGATATAATAGTGAGTAACACTCTCAGCCTTGCACGAAGCCACTGTGGCATCGAACATAAAAGGCAAAAAACTCACGCTCAGCCTCGCACATCCAATGGGCCACATTTTCAAATAACTCAAAAACTATTCAGTGAAACTGACTGAACTTTGGACGCCATTTGACAGACGTCGTTTTCTTTGTGTGAGCCTTATAACCTTCCCAGAGATGGTCTTGATCATTGTGTGCATGGCAGCGCCATTAGAGCAAGAGGAGGGTGTGCCGCTCGACCCTTCAATTATCCACGAGATTTTGTGTTATATTATTTTTCCTTATTCCACAATATTCTACATGCTTTGTTCTTTATTTTCGTTTGTAGTACATATCAATGAACACCATAATACAAGCAAAATTTGAATGGAAATTGAGATGTAACCAAACATTTTCAACTTGTATAGTACAGTAGGTCGGGATATATCGTGACTTTATATAACTTTTATTTTATATTGTGGCTACCAAAATTACTGACATTTTCCAATATATAGCAATAAATTCTTCTATTTCGCGAGGGAAATCTGGCAGGAAATATTTCAAATGTAATGCCATGGCAAACAAATGCGTTATTTGCTCACCAGAAGCACCACTGTGGCTGCTCACCCATGCATTCACGCTCGCCCCGGTCAGTCTTTCTGAGTGAGTGACGAGTAAGCAGCCGACTGCTGCAGATTACGACTTGGTGAGTGGAAATGGGTTGCTAGTGACGTGAAAAGTGAAGTGAACAAAATGGAAAGCTTCATGGAAAAGATTTAATACTGTAACTAATAGTTTTGGTTTGTTCGTTTACAGGGTATGTAGGTGTGGGATTGTCAAGTGAGGGTGGCAGTGTGGCGTCTGCTGCCGAGTCTGGTGTTCCTTGATATTGAAACAGTCTGTTGTTCCCGAGTCTAGTGTTCATTGGTGCTTTAGTTAGTAAGAAAATAAACTCGTTAAGTCAAGCTTAGTCACTTTTTTTGGCCTCCAGAACCTAACCTATTTTCCCCATTGATTACATGTAATTATATATTGAGATTTAGTTTATAGCCTAGTAGTACCCAAGTTAACCTTCACACAGTGAGGTCCCAGGTACCCAGTGATAGCTGCCCGAGAGACCCAACAACAACCAGCGATGTGTTAATCCGTCTACGATAGGAAGGCCTGGGACCACACCTCACTCATGTAACACCATCTGTGAGGGAATTACTACACCATGTGAGGTCCCTCATAACACCATCTGTGAGGGAATTACTACACCACATCAGGCTCCTCATAACACCACCTGTGAGGGAACTACTACTCCACGTGATGCCCCTCATAACACCATCTGTGAGGGAGTTACTACACTACATGTCTGCTGTTCAACACCTCAGCTCACATGATCTACATGACCTCCACTGTAAACTTAATCTGTATGTTCACTGTATGTTCCTTTACCTTTGTCTAATGAAGGCTTTTATTAAACCACCAATGTATGTAATAAATCATATCTGTCCAATGTATATTTTCAGCCTTCGGACTGCAGAACTTTTTCAATAATCCGTTAATTATTATTATTATTATATCCCGACCATACTGTACTAAAAAAAAAGTGGCTTCAATTTCAAGACTTTTAATTTTTTTATGGTTTCATACAATTTTTCAGACAATTTTATGCTATAAGAGACCCCATTACAATTAATAAAACAATTCCAAGGCAGTGAAATGAGAAAAAATAAATAAATAACCAAAAAAGATTCAAAGATTTTTCGGCAAAAGTCTCCGAGGCCAAGTGTAAGTTTTCATGCACGTATGTGTCTCAGGCTCCAAAGCTGAGAGGGTTAATCCTGGCATTGTAGCCAGGTTAAACTCATCACTGTAACCACCAGGCTACTGGGCCAAGCTGTGGTGTTAAGGTTGTTTTTCAACTTGTATTTTTGAGTAACGTAACTTTCTTCATTTATTTTTACTCATATTGTTAAAAAAGTAAAAGAAATAATTGTCCTTAGGGCAAACACAAAGGGAATATACATTTCTTTGCACACGAGTTAGCTGGCCGAGTGAGGGAGGGGAAGACGGTCACAGAGTGTAGGGGGGGGGGGGTACTAGGGAATTGGCATGCCAAATAGGTATTGTCTAATGGTAGACCCTGTTGCCACATGGCATCACAAAAATTGTGATCAAGTCCCAGGTTGCTGATCTGAATTTCTGCCTCATTTACACAATTGCAGGGTCTCAATTATTTCTTTTAGTGTTGACAACACAACATACATGCTGTACAGGGAAGCTTAAGAATAACAAAGGTTCGACCAACAACTTTTCGTATTTGAAACCCTCGATGATTTAGGACCCAATTCAGTTTACATCCTTATTTCATTCGTATTTACGACCAAAATATAATAAAAATAAAATAAAATTACATTTTCATATAAATAATAACTGAATCCCAATATGAATTATAAAAAAAATTATACTCACAAATGGTGGTAAAGTCTTAAAAATAAGGACAGCCAATGAATATTGTGCGAGTTTTTACTCAGATGACTAAGTCATCAGGTTCAATGTTGGCTGAAGCTGTCGGTTCAACTCTGGCTGAAGCTGAAGCTTTCCATAAATATGTCATAGCTGTTGCTGAACCTGAAGTTTTTGCTGAAGCTGTTATGATACTGAATTTGATGGTTTAGGCCTTCGAATAATAAAGCTGTCGAAAGAACCTTTTGCAGCCACTTTCTTTTCTCATTATACATCTTTATGTAGAGGTCATATGCATAGATATAAGAACACATTAGCCAAGATCCCCTTACTGCCTGCCATCAAGCCAAATCCCCAATCTACTGAGGGTAAACTTATGTGCACAATCTTGAGGGTAATGTGGATTATATTGTACTGTACAGTATTTCATTTGAGATTTCTCATATGATAAGATATTTTACCATTTTATTGAGCCAATTCAATATTTTGGGTTAACTTGATATATTTTATTGAGAGACTCTACAATATTGAATTAATGAGGGTTCAACATATCCTTGCAAACAAGTTAAAGAAAATGTAATGATACCCATTACCACTGAATTATAGAATAAATTCAAGTTTTATGATAGTTGAACAATAACTAAAGAACTTACCATTAGCCCAGTCACCATATGAACAAGTGTTGTCAAGATGGCACATCGCAACATATTGTGATCTGCAGACTCCTCCCATAAGCTGGGTAAATACTGGGCCAAAGGGGCTGCATGTGGCTGTATGCCCACTCCCACCACCTCAATCATGAAGGACATTACGTGTAAAACCTGAAAATTATTTCAATTATATAGTAAACTCCTTTAATATTAGAAGACTTCAATAAATTAGGTTGCATAAGTTATCACTTTAAAATTCTTACAAGCAGTCACATAAGTATTCTTCTACAAAGTAGGTCACAGAGACTTTAGGTTGAATTAGATGACTAATCATCTCTGAAGGTCTTCCTGGAGAACCTATCCTGAATTTTTAACTAATTTAACTCGACCATTTTCAAGCTGTTGATCAAATATAATGTGCTAGAAAGAAATTGAATTCAACAAATGTGTTTCCCACTCTGGTGCAGGCATACACTTACCAGTAATCACACTCATGTAAGTAACAATATTTAAAAACATTTAAAGTAACCAAACTTAAAAATGGAGGACTGATTCTGAAATTCCTTTTCTGATGGAGCTTGAAGCCCAAGTAATGCAGGGTAACATACAGTACTAGGGAGTCCCTGAGTCAGTAGATAAGACCTCTAGTGTCAACCAGGGTAATTATGTTTCTCCATTTGAATATACAGGTACCCAATAGAACCCCGCCACTTCTACAACTAGTGTGACAAACTACTGACCACAGTGATGGTAATTTAGCTAAGAGTCAAACTTCGACTTCAAAAAGTTAATGTTAAAAAAGCAGTTGGCCCTGACAACATCAGCCTGTATATCTTATGGCATTGTGCCAACAAGCTAGCTAGTCCTATTTCGACTGTCTTCAACGCTGCACTAAATCGAAGTGTTGTTTCAATGGAATAATTTAGTTTGGTACTTGAGAGAAACACAAAATACTAAAAAGACTGAGAGTTTACCCAGATGCACCTCAGCTCATTTCCGAGAATAAACAAAACATTGTTTTTTGTAATATTATGTGAAAACAAACTCATAAATCAACACAGCTAAAATTAATGGCATGCGAAATGGTCTGTTTACTGGCTGGAAAGATGGGGGGGGGGGGGGGGAGGTGAGGGGATATGTTTGACAGTTGATGCCAAGGTCTAGTGCTTATTTATTTATGTCCTTAAGAGTGACTATGTTTTTCTCTTATAAAATGTCACCGAACTGACCTGGGAGAATATAATTAACATCGCATTAGACATACAAATTTTAGTTTTAATTAATTTTATTACAAAAGGCTAAAATTTTTATCTCTTGTACAAAATATATGACATTAATATTCAAATAATTCGCTGTCTTGCAAGGATTCTAGCAATGCTAATCATATTCTCCTAACTTTAGTCTGTGATATTATATAAGATAAAAACTGTAAGCCTATAACCACCCAACCCTGGCTGGGAAGATGTGGGGGGGGGGGGTGACAGTGACACATTTGACAGTTGGCTCTTATTCCGCCAGGATAGCCAGCGGACAGTCCAGAGAGTAAAGCAGCAACTGGAGCTGATCGTGGATGAGGTACACCTTGGCAGGTAAATTTTGCCCTTCAGAAAACACAGCGATGGTGATATCCTGCTCCCGACTACCCATGCCATGAAAGAGAGAATCCTCATTGGGGGGGGGGGGTTAAGGGGGCGTTACCGCTGCCACTCCTGGATTACATGATTACATGACCATCCTCAGAGTGGACTTTGACAAACATTTCAGGTTCGACAAACGCAACAACTGCGCCTGCAAGGCCTCACTCAGGGTATCGGCCCTGAGAAGGTTGGCTAGATTCCTTGACCATAGTGGGATCCTAACGCTCTATAAGGCCTTATTTAGAGTACCCATCCCTGTCATGGGTGTCCAGTGCTCCTTCCCACATTGGAAAACAGGACAAGAAACAGAGGCGAGCCCTGTGACTGATGGATTCTGCCTCACACCCTCCACATGACATCGTCACCACTGTAGACCCTCTGGAGCATCAGAGAGATGTGGAGGCCTTGACAGTAATCCACAAAGCCCAGGTCCAAGGTGCCTCACCTGGCAGGACTCAAGCTGCCCCTACGAGTTGCCCAGAGGAGCACAATAACGGTGCTGTCGAGCGTCCAGCTGGTGGAGGTGCCTTGGTCATGAGCCAGTCAGCGTCAGAGGACCTTCATGGCCTAAGTTTCACGACTGTGGAACCTCTTCACGGTGGCCATACCGGATGTCGGGAAGATGACTACCCAACAGGTCAAGATGGCCGCTCATTGATGGCGACCAACACTCCCAACTCTGCTTATTCTTCTACTAATGTCCAATGTCCTTAACTATTTAATTTATGATAATTTATTGTAACAATCCTGGGAAAAGTTTTACAGATAGGATAGTTTTTAACAACATTTTCCTTTAAACCAGTTATCATGTGAATAGGTTAGAATCTTGTCAATCACAGCAACATCATCATTGTATCAACCCTCTCATGTCACGTCTCAGGATATCCAGTTGGCAAGACCTAGTCGGAGAAACACTTGGGAGACACACAAATGTACCAGGCCACATTGCCACGGTAGCTCCACGCTGTTGCCATTACTGGCTCACACTTTACTATAATACAACTGTACCGTACTATGTTGTTATGGGGTGTACTGTATATCTATTAACTGTACTATATAAAGTTGTACTATAACATGACCCTACTGTATTTGTAATACAGTGGTCCCTCGGTTAACGAGCGCCTCAGTTAACGAGATTTCGGTTAACGATTTACCTTCCATAAGATTCTTAACTTCGGTTAACGAGCAATCCCTCGATTAACGAGTTTTTTACGGGCCGACTTCAAAATGTTTTCGCTTGCATTTGGCAGTCCACCAGCTGTAGTATTAGTCCGCCAATACAGTAATCGGTTTTAGGGCTTATATTCCTTACTATTTTAGTAAATATCAAGAAGTTTATACTATTCAATAATTTTAAAAGTTTAATATTAAATTTTTTAGTCATTTTAACAATTATTGAACATAATTGAAGGTAAAGAAACTAGTTTCTGGCGTGCCATCCAGCCTGTTAACACACCAGACAGGCGTTAGTCTCTCTCTGTTTTCAGTGGAGGTAACATCTTGCTTGAAACTCTCTTCAACTAAACGCTTTTTTTCTGTGTTTTCAAGCAAATTATTGACAATATATAATGCAGTGCAGTGTTGATTTAAAGAAAATAATCTTGAAATACACCAAAAGAGCTAAAATTTTATGGGTGAAATGGTGCCATGGGGTGACTTCTCTTCCACCCCCAATGCCTTCTCTTCTTCCTTCTCCTCCACCCCCATTCTAATTCCCATCATCATCATCATCCAGGAGCCTTCTACATACACACCGCGAAGTAAGTGCACTTTTCTACCGGTTTTGTTGAATTTGGCAATTTTCGGTGAGCTGGAACCAATTACCCAAAAACCCATTGAAACAATGGTTTCGGTTAACGAGCAACCTGCTAGAACGGATTGTGCTCGTTAACCGAGGGACCACTGTACTGTAATTGGGTGGGGATACCTTAGATTAGAGGATAAAGGGGTACAGTAGAATGTCGATTTAACGCTAATCGATTTAAAGCGACACCCACAATTAAGGACAATGTTTTAATTTAGAGCGAATCTTTCCTATTTTGCGCGAGTCAATCAAGGCGTATCATATTTTAAATTTCTCGCCTAATTTTTCCCACCAGACGCGTCTCTGGACATGCTACATGGCTGCCCGCCACCCTCCCACACCCTAACGCATACTGTGTGACACGATCTCTTCTACCACGTGTATCAACCAACGCCATTATGTCCAAGAGGCCAGCTACTACATCATTAACTACCCCAAAGGCCAAGAAATCAAGGCAAGCAATTACACTGGAGCAGAAAATCAAGGTGCTGGAAGCACTGCAGTGTGGAAATGGTGCTTCAAGTGTGGGACGTCAATTTGGACTGTCGGAGAGCTCTGTCCGCACTATAAAGCTCAACGAGGAGAAAATTAGAGCAGCCTATGCTTCACTAGATGTTGCCAAGGGTAAATTCCACCTGAAGCCTGCTATGTATGATGAGATGGAAGATGTACTGAAGTTATGGGTAGAAGATATGCAGCGCTGAAAACTTCCTCTCACTGGCCCCATGTTGCAAAACCAAGCCTACAAAATACAGTCTACTTGAAAAGGAAGGGAAGTCCATCAAAGACAGTAAGTTCACAGCAAGTACAGACTGACCGTACAAATTTATCAAAAGGACGGGGCTACGGAATGTGACACTTTCAGGTGAAGCTGCATCTGCCGACGCAGAGGCGGCTGAGGATATGAAGAAAGTTATGAAGGATATAGTGTTAGAAAATGGTTATTCTCCTTGCCATGTGTGGAATTGTGATGAAACTGAACTGTATTGGAAAAGAATGCCCAAGAAAACCAATCTAATGAAGAATGAAGAAAAAGCACCAGGGTTTTTAAGGTCAGCAAGGACAGACTGACGATTCTCCTCATGGCGAACGCATCAGACACCACACGAATGAAGCCACTCGTCATCCACCACTCGGCTAGACCTCGTGCCTTGAAAAATGTGCACATCCCAAAACTTCCTGTAATTTGGCGATCAAACAAGAAGGCGTGGATGACTTCTGATATTTTCGATTAGTGGTACATCAGCCATGCCACCCCATTCATCGAAAATGCTAACAAAAAATTTAACCTTAGCAACAAGGCCTTGGTTCTCATGGACAACGCATCTAGCCACTCCAAACACCTGTGCAGTGTGAATAAGGACGTAAACTTGACCTTCCTTCCGAATGTGACTTCACTTATTCGGCCACTAAATCAAGGTGTTATTGCCTTGTTCAAGAGATATTATCTCAAAAATACCATGAGGCAAATGGCTGAAGCTATGAACAAGGGCAACAATATGACTGCAGCAACGTTTTGGAAGAGCTACACCATCAAAGATGCCATAGCTAACATCGCACTTGTGTGGAAAAGTGTGCCAGATATGCAAGTGGTGGAGGCGTTGACTCGGGCTGCACCTACGTACTCTCAGCTGCTAGATCAACTCATTATGGCCCAGCAACAGAAGAAAATCACCTCATTCTTCCATCCATTATCCTCATGAGGTGAGTTTGTTATGAAACTGTGTTTTATGAAACCAAATGTTTATTGTTTGGAAAAAAAAGACATTAAATTTTTGACGTATGATATGTAATAATTATGTGGAAGAAATTCAATTATTTAATGAATGTTTTCCATTCCTTCAGCTCCTGAGGTAGCTGACCCATCTACGTCTGGGCAGACACAGCCGTCATCCGGTGCTACCTGCGTGTCAGATGTGTCAACAGCCACAGCACTAGACAGTGATGTGGATGATGTGCTGGTCGAGTTGGGCTCTGCATCTTCAGAGTATGAATTACCTAACTAAAGGTGAGTGAAAATCTATTTTTGATAGCATAGAGTAATCAAAAAATAAGTTGAGAGGAAAGCGAGTCAGACGAGAGGCGGGTGGAGCGCGCCACCACCCTCCCCCATCAGCTGATCGCTAGTAAACCGACTACAGGTGCTCCTCTACTTGATTACGTTCAACTTACAAACTTTCAGAGATACAAACATCATCACTGAAAGGGTTTACCTGCCAAAACAGGTGTTTAGTGTGGATGAGACTGGATTATTTTGAAAAAAATTCCAGATTGAACAAACATTACCAATGAGAAGTGAGCCAGGTTTTAAGGCTGTATTAAAGGGTATAGCTGTACTAAATATTCATAATCTTTCCATTTTTTACAATATGTTTGGTATCTACAAGAGTAAAGTTGGGCTTACAAACAAGCCTCAGGAACGTAACTCGTTCATAAGTAGAGGAGAACCTGTATTTCGCATCCCGTAATTTTAGCTGTGTTGAGTTATGAGTGTTTGTTTTAGCATAATACTACAGCCTGTACAAAACAATAATTTGTTTATTCTAGGAGATGGGCTGAGGGTGCATCTGGGTGTATACTTTCAGTCGGAGGGCCAGTGACCCGAGGCAGCAGGCAGTACTACGCAATCAGTACTGTCCAGCTCTCAACTCGACTAGTTAATAAAAGTCTCTGTTAGTATTTTGTGGTTCTGTCAAGTACCAAACTAAATTATTCCATTGAAACAAAACTTTGATTTAGCGCGAATTCGGTTTAAAGTGACCTTTCTTGGAACGTATCTCGCGTTAAATCGACGTTCTACTGTATTACACAATTCACTCGTACAAAAGATGTGCTCGCCATCCAACCACAAGTGATCTGTACCACCTTTAACACTCTCAGGGTTTTCATATGCAAAATTGTGTATGATTTAAATTATTGCTTTAGGGTTTTCATCGCAAATTTGCGTATGAAGTAAAATTAATTTTTTTTTTTTTTTTTGCATATGAACACTAGATATGCATGACACACATTTGGCAATGTAAGCACGATCTGGCAACCATGTAGACAGCACTCCAGGGTCACCATACCAGTCTCCCTTTTGTGTTTAAAGGACTTGGGATATAACATTGATTTACATTTCCCATGCATTTCCGTGCATCACAGTGATTTAATTTATTCACGACAGCGTTGTGAGTTTTGAACCATGCCTCGTGTTGTTGGTGAGGGTGGAAGGGTGGGAAAACGTAAAAAGTGCCAGGAGATTGTACCACATGGTGATAGTATGGGGCCTCCTGATGCCTCTCCCAAGGAAAATATAATTTTTTCACAAATTTTCTTCTACTGTACGTAATAAGTATTGTCTCTTAAATATGTACGCTTTATAATGGAATAAGTTTCATATTGCAATCACATAAAATAACAAAGGTAGAAAGTGATGTATAAACATTTTCATAAGCGTAAATAAGAATTTTCTGTTTTACTCGCACTTATGTATATTAATAGTTAAAGTGGTCAAGTGGGCAAAAAAATTTTATTGTTGTAAGGAGGGCAGTGCCTCGATAAGTTGGAATTTGTGATAAGTCGGCAAGGGAAATTCCAGAATTTTAAAATAATTGGTAATTTAAGTTTCTTTCCTGCAGATACTTTAAACATACAGTGGTCCCTCGGTTAACGAACGCCTCGGTTAACGAATTACCTTTCATAAGAATATTCAATTCGGTTAACAAATTCCTTACGAATTCCTCTCAACATGTTTTCGCTTGCTCACCAGCTGGAATATTAGTCTGCCAGTACAGTAATCGGTTCTAAGGCTTAAATTCATTCCCATTTGAGTAAATATCAAGAAGGTTGTACTATTCAATAATTTTCCTAGTTTTATATTAATATTTTTAGTCATTTTAACACTTATTTAACATAATTGCAGTTCAGGGAACTAGTTTTTGGTGCGCCAATCAGCCACTTGACTCGCCTACCAAGGCGTCAGTTTGCATCTCTGGTCAGTAGAGGTAACATCTTGCTTGTGGCTCTCTTGAAAATAAACTATTTTTATGATTTTACTGTACAATTATTGATCATTCTGAAATTAATTTACATATTGACAATATATAGTGCAGTGCAGTGCAGTGTTGATTTAAAGAAAATAATCTTGAATTACACATATTGAACTTAAAATTTTATGGGTGAAATGACGGCATGAAGCATGGGGTGACTTCTCTTCCACCCCCAATTCCTTCTCTTCTCCCTTCTCCTCCACCCCCACTTCTAATTCCCATCATCATCAACCAGGAGCCTTCTACATATACACCTCAAAGTAAGTGTACTTTACTGCATTTATTTTTAGTTTGTATGTAATTTTCGGTGAGCTGGAACCAATTACCCAAAATCCCATTGAAACAATGGTTTCAGTAAACGAAATTATCGGTTAACGAACGACCTTCTGGAACAGATTGTGTTCGTTAACCGAGGGACCACTGTACAGACATACAGTATGTTGTGATTTTTTTAATACTATCAAGTGTTGGGGAAACAACCATACCAACATGTGATGATGCATTGGATAATATAGCAAAAGCATATCGTTCAACATTTCAGAGTAAAAATAGAAAAAGTAATGATACTTTTTGGTGGAAGTATACAACAGTGTCAACTGATTCAAAAGACTCCATTTGGGGAAAGGAATGGCCTCACAATCACCAAACCATATGTAGTCCAAGATACTTTGTTAGTGAAGAAAAAGCACACTCCAGTGCTCATGCTGGCTTCCAACCTCTAACAAGGATTTACCAAGTACTGTACAGGTATCCCTCACTATATGAATGTTTGCCATACAAAATTTCGCTCCAAAAACTCTACTCTTACAACTCTTTCTTACTATCCGAAAGTGATATTCACTATACAAAAAATGGTTTAATTGAAAATTCAAATCAAGTGCACCAAATGCAACCTGGGAGTCAGCTGGATCACCCCCTCTGCCTTCATTGTCTCACACACCATTCACTTAGTGTTCAGTGGAAGATAAGTGATCTCTTTTTATCCATCTATAGTGGTGCCATCCTTTTGTGAATTTGTAAACAATGTCATCCAAGAATTGTATTTTTTTTCTTTTAAGAATATTAATGATGTCTCTTTTTGCGAGAACAATTGGTGCAGAGCACTTCCAGGAATAAGAGATTTCTGGGTAACAAGACGACTCACTCAAAGCTGGAAAAAATTCCCACATCCCTAGAATTTTCTGGGTAATGGAAAATTTTTCTCAGAAGTTCCAGAAATTGCACATTACATCATCTCTCAAACCCGGAAAAATATCTACCATCCCTAGAATTTTCCAGGCACCAGAAAATTTTTCTCAGAATTTCTGGAAAATGCGCTTGATATTCGTCTCTCAAACACGGAAAAAATTTCCCCATCCCCGGAAATTTACGTGTACTGGGAAAATTTATTTGGAATTTTCCAGAAAATGTGCCCCTCGGAAAATCATTTTCCGAGAAAATTTCAATTCCGGCTATCAGAGAGTTCCGGTTGAGAGGGATTCCAGCTCATTGAGATACTACTTACCATTAACTGTCTTGTCATACAATTCACTTTCCTTCTGAGAGTACTGTAGTAGAGTGCCTTTTCATACATAATTTTCACTTTACAAGCCTTTCTCTTTAGCTCACATAAATATTTCATTATTAACTGGAAGTCAATCGTGTCTTATATAAAATAGTATGACATACAGTAACTGTAGATCTAAATTCCCTCTTTAAAATATGCCTAACCAATACCAATCAATTTCTATCCTGATTGATCTGGCTTGAATTTTCCTCACCTGTGGAGACTAGAATATTTGGTACAGGATTGTTATGTACATTACCCACATACAAGGCTAGAGGCAACTCAGATTGAAAATTTCCTAACAAATGCTAACTCCTTAGCTGCTACTCACATAACATTGATACTTTATATTTTTACAAAATTCTTTCCTATATACTCAAAAAATAACAGTCTTACCTGCATTTTTGTATCACATTCATGAGCCTCCTTCAAAAGGTTGAATAAGAGGCCAAATATGGTAGGTAGATATGGCATGAACTGCTCTGGATCAAACTCAAACTCATCTACAGAATGTTTGAGAGTCATGGCCGCACTAAGACGGACAACAAAATCTTCTTCTGCCGCTAAGAGGTGAATACATGCTTCGTATAGTGTAGGTCGGTGTTCCGGGGAAAATTTCACACTCGTCCACTGTCCAATGAGCCATATAACACGGCGTCTAATTATGCGATAATTTGAGTCCTTAACTTTTAATTCATTAATTAAGGAAGAGGTAAACCACTGATCAAAGTCAATGTCATCAAAAAGTTCAAAGGCTGCCAGACCCACAGCATTATACACAGCATCCTTCTGAAGAATTCCATGATAATCACTAGGATCAACAGGGCTGTGAGATGACCGCACCATCTCCATCAACACTGGGATAAGAGCACTTCTATACTCATGGAACAATGACACAAACAGTGTTTCTGTACACGGTCTGAGGCTATATTTCCATGATTCTCCTCCTTCCACTTCCATACAAAACCCTTCAGGATCAGAATCCCAGACTTCAAGGTCATCCTGCCTGAGTAAAAAGTAATGGGAGATAAGTTTGTGGCACATGCCTGCTAGAACTGAATTAGTAAAGAACTCCAACTTGATTCTAAAGGCTTCTAAAGTCCGGGGATCCTTGGTATCTTCTATGACCTTGCACGGTTTATACTCGGGACACAGAAGGATGGCCTTTATTAAGTTGAGACACTGCACAGTGAATCTCTCAAAAATTAGTCCATCTCCTGCAGGTGTAAATACAAAATATGCTGTTAGATCCAAGCTAGGCTTAATGAACTGTAAATAAGAGAACGGAAAATTTTCTAAAACATCACGTAACACTTTGGTTAAGAGTACAGCATACTTCTCAGAAATAGTTTTAACGTGCTCGTTACTTTCGTGTTGTTTCCGGAAAGTCAACATCACTTTAATGCGATCAAATATACTCTTCATGAATAACACAGCATCTTCACTCTCTTCGGGTTTCTTAAATCCATGTATAATAAGCTTACGAAGGATCTTGAGTGCCAAGTGTGACCGTTCCAGGCATGGCACCACAATCTCTAAGCTTTGTCCTCCAGCTCCAGTTGCAAGGAATGCTTCTGTTTCAGATCGCCATAGTTCCAAAAGGAATGAGAACATCTGATTTGTTAATTCCTGAAAAAAAAAAAACATTTACTACTGGTACCACGAAATATTAACATCTTATAGTATACCTGTTGGAAAGAGATAAGTGATTACTATACCTATTAATACCTAAACTACTATAAATAGTTGAAGTGTAGTTTTTAAAGTTCCGTCTGTAACTGATGTTCATTGGTAGTTGGAGCTTGTAGTACATTTACTGACTGTGTTAAATCAGGTTAATAGAGTTGAATTATAACAAGTCTACTGTGTAATCATTTACAAACTACCATGACTATAGGATGTTGCCTTGCAATTGGCGAGTCTCCCTGTCCTATGTCAGTGTAGTATGGAACATGCCACTAATAATAATCATGGCCCTTTTCAGTAACATATACTGTACCTGTATAAGATCCAGTTATCTTTCAAAATTTAGATGGTACAGACAGTTTTGGCAGATAAGAGCCAAAATTAGCACCTTCCATATACTGTACAGTACGCATAAGTAAATACATCTAAGATGGTATGCTCTGTTCACTTAGGTTTCAGTGGTAATGGGAGCTTGCAATACATCAAGTGATCAAGTTCAAACAGGTTTTGACAGGTGGGTTACAATACATCTTAACAACTGTGCAGTTGTTTATAAGCTGCTGGCGGGATGTAGGCCCATAGAGGGCGAGTTACCATGATTTTTCTTTTACTTAATTGTCAATATCTTATTTTTTTTTTTTTACGGGGGATAGCCCACCCGGGCACAGGTCATCGACTCACAACGGGGTCTAGGAGGCAAAAAAATGAGAGTAAAAAGATATTTTAAATAAAAAATAAAATTATAATATTTATCTACACCACAAAGATGCCAGAAAACCAGCTTTTCGAAGTGAGACAGATTGTATGAAAAGGGAAAGAAAGAAGAAGGCAGAGCATTCCACAGTTTGTCTGTTTGAGGAAAGAAGGATATACTATTACGGGTTATTCTCGTGTGACCGACATCCAAATAGAAACGGTGGGCACAGCAGGCAAGATGAGTGTTACGAGCCCACTGCCTTGCCGGCGGTACACAGGATGCCAAATCCACCGAACATTGCCCGTTTAAGTACCTGTAAAGGAAAGAGTGAAGCAACATTGCGACGAAGAGAAAGGGAAGAAAGATTATTAACTAAAGCAGGAGACTTAATAAAACGAAATGCCTTTGATTCCACCCTGTCAAACAGTTGGACAAAAGAAGAGCCGCCCAAGATATGAGAGCAGTACTCTAAATTACAGCGAATGTATCTCTTATATACTTGAAGCAACTGCTCCATAGTGAAGTAGCTACTGCATCTGTACAGCATTCCCAGCTTTTGGGAGGCAGCTTTAGCAAAGTTGAGGACATGTGGCTTCCATGACATATTAGAGGAAATGGTGAGGCCTCGCATAGCTATTTTAGAATTTGGCAGAATGATAGCATCCTGAAATGTCATTGGTGAGAGATCATCTAGTTTGGAAAGTGTAATTGGTAAATACCAAGTTTTATTGCTATTAAATTTAACCAAGTTTCTACCTCCCCATTTGGAGATGCTGCACAGATCCACATTGATAGGTGTATGTAATATAAAAACGGTAGCCAATTAGAGAAATATATATTTGCTGTATAAGATAATTTGAATTCTGAATTGGTCAACCAATTTTTTATGTTCAGTGTTGTGTAGTGTTTAAACAGATGTTATAAACCTTTTCCAGGAGAGGACTGATTATGACAGATCTTGGTTATATTAGAGGAAAAGAGGCAAGAACTAAAAGCTATATTTATCACTCCTCCAGAAGTAAATGTAGATTCTGAAGAGGACTTGGGCAGTGGCATCTGCTGAAACAGTTAGTTGTGATAAGAGGAATTTAGTGAGGGAAATGAAAATACAACAGATAGTGAAGAAGATAAACCTGATACAGTAATAAAGAAGAGGAAGAATAGTAGTGAATGGAACCCTGGAAAAGAGAACACAAAGTTAAAACATGTCTTTAATGTACAAATGGGACAAAACAAAAGAAGTGTAATTCAGTTTACAGTCAATTTGCCTAAGTGTGAAAAAAGCCACCTGCTATATAGAGGAAATGGGCAGAATGAGTCACAACATCAACTGCTCCTGAGTATTCATCTAAATGAAAATGTAGGGGGGTGGCCAATTTTTTGACGGAAGTTCAATGCAACAATACAAAACTGTTGGATTCTGCATCTGCCTGATAGGAGTAACACATCACTGCTGTCCCTTCAGTGGTACATTACACCAACAATTTACAACGTGCTGTCCTATGTGTTGGTTCAGGCAGACTAACAGTCTCTTCTCAAGTCATTCTTAATGAAGGTTATGATAATATGGGACTCTTGTTGAACCACTAGGAAAACAGGAATGGAATTGTGCCTTGCCTGGTTGCAAGTCATGGCCTTCCCATAAATGTACACAGTGTGGTATTTGCCTGTGTCAAATGTTTTGTGGCATATCATCATCTTGCACAGTATACTAAAGCACAGTATGCTTATTTCCTACTAAAATAAAAAGTTTCTTTTAATTAGATTTGATTTTTTATAGAAGTACCACACTTATACCGCATAACCATTTGAATTTATCAAACAGAAGTAATATCTCCGTTAGCCAGAATCCCTCAAACCTACAACTCTTCGATAGCCGGAATTGAAATTTGCTCGAAAAAATCATTCTCAAAGCCAGAATTAAAAAAAAATTCCGGCTATGGGAGCAAATTATCTGAGGTCGAAAATCGAGAGCATTTTCTACAAAAGTCTTGAATAAAGACGAAAAGTAAAGTATTTTTTTTTTTGGGGGGGGGACTTTACCTGACCTGACTCAACATCAGGTGGAGGTAGGGTGGGGACTTCAAAGTCTCATATTACTGACCCTTTATTGGGAGGGGGATTAGTGGGTCTCATGACCTGAAGATATCTTGAATAAGGACAAAAGCTAAAGTATTTTTATGGAGATTGTGATAAGCATAAATATAAAGAGCAAAGTTGTATCCCTTCAACATTACACAACATAACATTTTAAAATCCTAAATGAGAAAGCAGAAATGTGTGGGTGATTAGAGAGACGGAGTGAATAGGAGTATAACATGCACCAGTGTGCCAAGTGATAAGTTCCTCAGCAGCTGATCTTTTAATTCACCTACATGCAGTCACACAACAAGGCCCTCACTGGATGCTTGTAGTCTTAATTCCCATGTATGGATGTATGTATGTATGTATGTATGTATGTATGTACAGTATGTATGTATGTTTGTAAGCAAAGCCGTCCCTAGGGTATGGCAACCGGTGCGACTGCCCGGGCCCCGTGGCCCTTACACCTTTTATCACCCAACACCAGAATTAGTGGCGTGGTTAAACTGACCTCACCTTAACACCCAGATTCAGGAGACCACCAAGAAGGATTAGTGACCAGCACAGTTAGGCAGTGCATCTGCTGACATGAGGTCAAAGGTAAGATTAAGCCACCCTATTTTACCACCCAGACTGAGAACAATGTCATTCTTTACTGTGGCCTCTGTCGAAGAGGAGTGAGGACGTTGACAGCGGTCACCTGTCCTTATTGTCGAAACTCTGAACCTCCAGTTGTCTGTGATTTGTGTTTTGTGATTAAAACATGAGATCATACTGTTTTTAGGGTAATCATTTATGGACACCCTGTACATTATTTTACTATCGTACACTTCCCTCATTTTTTATTATACCATGGCCAGCAGGGATAGAGACAGATACAGAAAATACATCTTAGGTGCAGAGAAAAGGAAGAGAAGAAATTGAAATGTCAATGAAATTTTCCCTAAAAAATAAGTGCTTTCAAAAACACCAGAAACTTGTGCAAAAAAAAAGGACCCGAGTGACTGTGATGGTGATAGTGTGAGTTATATTCAAGCTGGGGAAGAGGAGAGTAGTGAAAAAATACTCCGGCTTTTAAAATGGACATTTCTACCTAAGCTAACGGGCGTGCTGATGAAGATCTGTGTGATCCAGCCAACTGGCCACATTTACTGGACACTACGACAATTGATATTTTGGTAGAAAAGGGACCTGTTAAGGTATCTAGTGAAAATTATGTGTTTCCAAAAAATGGTGAAAACCGACACTTTTCAGAAGACGCTTTGAGAGAGTCGTCTCGTTACCCGGAAACCTCTCATTCCCGGAAGTGCTCTGCATAAATTGTTTCGGCTAACGGGAATATCACTGTACAGTACTATGCATACTGTATATCTCAAAGGAAAAATTAAGTCACTCAAGACATCTTCAGGTCATAAGACCCACTAATCCCTCACCCACCAATGAGTGACCTGACACTGCATCAGGTCAGGTTAGTAACATGACCCAATAATCTCCCTCTCAACCTTCATCACAAGTGTTAAGATGATTACAGTTATGTATTACAGTCAGCTTAGTGAAGTGTCTGCCTATTGTAGGCTAAAGATGACAGGATCTGCTGGTGAGTACAATATATACAGTAGTTTACTGTACATAATTATGTTTACAGTATGAACAATATTGTACAGTGGTGTTTGCGTAAATAACTACAGCTCCAACAAGTACACCCACCTCTCGTTTTACGCAGGTCGCGGGGGTTACGTTCTTTAAAATCACCGCTTAATTCAAAAACGTGTAAATTAAACATAAGTTTCCCATAAGAATACATGTAAATGGTACAGGTTAGGGGAACCATCACGTTCACAGTGATTGTTTTTCGTGCCTTTTTAGCTTTAGGCGCCCCAGAGGATGCAGATGGACTTTTCCAGACATGCTCAATGGGGAAAACAGCGTTTAACACTAAAAAGGTACGTGATAAACACACAATGCAAATGAGAGCACAGAGAAAAGGTAGTGCTGGTGTGAATTGAGAAAGTGATACGCGGGAAGCTTGATGGATGTCATCACAGTTGTTGGACAGAATTCTTCATTATCATCATCATTATTAGTAATAATCTTTTTTATTACATTATTATAATAATTATTATTAATAATTATAATACAGTGGTCCCTCGGTTAACGAACGCCT